TTACACTTTATTTACAAACCTCACACTTTATTTACAAACTTTACACTTTATTTACAAACCTTACACTTTATTTACAAACCTTACACTTTATTTACAATTATTACACTTTATTTACAAACCTTACACTTTATATTTACAAACTTTACACTTTATTTACAAACCTTACACTTTATTTATAAACCTTACACTTTATATTTACAAACTTTACACTTTATTTACAAACCTTACACTTTATTTACAAACATTACACTTTATTTACAAACCTTACACTTTATTTATAAACCTTACACTTTATATTTACAAACTTTACACTTTATTTACAAACCTTACACTTTATTTACAAACCTTACACTTTATTTACAAACATTACACTTCCTTTACAGACTGTGTTTACTGATGTTCTACTTCCTGTGGCTTCGGTTCCTCTTTCACTTTTCTCTCCCTGTCTTGCTGTGTGAGGGCTCATCCACACCGCACAGTGAACGATATTGTGCGTATAACACCTGTGCGCTGGTTTGCATAGTGAATGTGCGTTGCACGGTGTTGTCACCGAAGCGCGCTGTAATATGTTATAACACATCAGAACACTTCTCTACACAAAGAATGCGACATGTTTTATTTTCAGCACACACCAACGCATCCCATTGTGGAAACCGACGCCATAGGACATAAGGCACGCTGACCTGTTCTTACACTGAGCGAAGCTGCTGGTGTAAATGAGGCCCTAGTGCTGGCTGGAGTCGGCTTTTCATCGCTGCCTGAGGACTCGCCCTCTATATTTTTCTTGTTGTCACCAGAACAGGAAGTGAGGAGAAATCTTCTATTCCAGGGACAGCTAAGAGTACATTTCCCTCACATTCGAGAGATTTCAACTCACTTCCTGTTGCAGGTACAAAAACAGGAAGTGGAGGGAAATGTCCCCAGCAGGGACACAGGAAACAAAGACTGACGCGAGTTCTTTCCCTTTCGCCTTCAGAAACTGGAAATAGTGTTGGCTTTGGACACACTTTTGGGGGTCTTTAGGGAGTTGCAATGCGTTGGGGCGAGACTTTCCACTGAACGGGCGACTGTAAAACGCATGTGAATTTGAGACACAACGGTTTAGCACGGCGTGATGGTGCGAATGGGCCACACCAGATGCTTCTCATGGGGGAAAAAGTGACTGAGTAGACGTTATGTAACGGGGCGTAAGAAGCTCGGCCGGCCCTGACTCACCATTGCGAGCGACCGGCTGACACATCAGCGACATGTCCCTGAATATCAGGCTAGAAGAGTGTAGGCGGAGCCTGGTGGGCGGAGTCATCCCACAAATGCCCCAACAGTGAGATCTCCCTGCCATAATTCCCAGCTCTGTTCCAGCACACCTGGGTGTATTGGGTGTCTCCGCCCACCTTTGTAGGCTCTGGCTCCTCCCCTTCCTCGCTTGTCTGTGAAGATTATCCAGCGTGCTGGTAAATATTAATTCACACAAATATTACTCCACATCCTGCATGTTAAAGGATCACTCCACCCAGAACAAATG